TTCATAACATGACTAATATGGAAATATGTTTTACATGATTGTACATATATAACTTATATGGGGAGGGGAAAAAATTTGGAACTCAAAACCTTATAAAAATGAATGTTAACAAATGTCTTTATATGTAATTGGGAAAAAATACCATTAAAAATAAAATGACATAAAATCCAAAAAAGGGGGGAGATGGAATCAGGCTACTGCAAAAGAGACTGAGGGACTGACTTAGGGTTGGAGCCATACAAATGGAGAAAAGGGAGATGAGTGAGAAAGATATTAGGGAGTTGCAATGGCCAGACTTGGCAGCTGAGGAGGGGGTTGTTAAGCATTGAGGAAGACTCCAAGGTTATAAACCTAGGTAATTAGAAGGATGGTCTTGCCCTAGTCAGAAGTGGGAAAGTTTTGAAAAAGTAATTGCTTTGGTGGGGAAAGAGAACAAGTTCTGTTTTAGACATGTTGCTTTTGAAATGCTTGTGTTTGTGCATGAACTGATGCAAAGTGAAGTGAACAGAACCAGAACATTACATACAGTAATAGCAATATTGTTCGATGAAGAACTGTGAATGACTTAGCTATTCTCAGCAATACAATGATCCAAGACAATCTCAAAGGACTAATAATGAAAAATGCTATCTGCCTCCAGAGAAAGAACTGATATTGTTTGAATACAGACTGAAGCATGCTATTTTTTCACTTTCATTCATTCTTTTTCTTTCATTTGAATCTTCTTGAACAAAATGACTAATATGGAAATGTTTTACACGATTGTACATGTATAACCTATATCTGATTGCTTACTGTCTCAGGGATGGGAGAGAAGAAGGAGTAAGGGAGAGATAGAATTTGGAACTCAAAAGTTTAAAATGTTAAAAAAATTGTTTTAACATGTAATGGGGAGGGGAATAAAATATATCTTAAAAAATAAAAGGATGGACCATTAAAAATAAATTTTTAAAAATTAAATGACTATGTTTGGCCCAGTTGGAATTGTGTAATGGGCACATTGATGATGGACTGGAGCTTAGGAGAGACAGCAGAGTTTCATCTATAGATATGAGAGCCATCTGAATAGGATAACAATTATACCCTTGGGAACTGATGAGGTCACAAAAAGAGGGTGCAGAGAGAAGAGTGCTCAGGAGAGAGGCTTGAAGGACACCTTTACTTAAAAGGTCAGACACAAATAATCATTTAGCAATGAGACTGAGAAGGAACAACAAAATTGATTGGACGAGAACCAAGAGAGAGCAGTATCATGAAAACCAAGAGGAGAGAATATCCAAAAGGAGAGGATGAACAACAGCGTCAAGCCATGCAGAGAGGTTGAGGGCAAGAAAGGTGAGAAAGGCTACCTCTTCATTAGAGATTGGATTAAAGGAGAGAATGGGTGGTTGATGGCTGCGCAGGAGTCAGGAACACCTGAATTCAAAATTGACCTCAGGCACTTACTAGCATGTCACTTAATCTCAGTTTCCTCATCTGTAAAATGGAGATAACATTTATAAATGCTTTTCAAAATACTAGAGAAATGCTATTGCTATAATTATTAGTGTTTCATTTTCTGTTCTCTAGGGCCATTGCAATGAATAACTTTAGCAAAATCAGCCAGCAATGAGAGAAATCCAGACATTGTCTACATTTCTATGTCAACCAGGGAAAATCAGGAAGGGGAAGGAACAAGTACTTATTAATGAAACACCCTCTAATTGCCAGGCATTATGTTAAGCACTTTACAAATATTACCTCATTTGATCCCCATAACAATCCTGGGAGGTAGGTGCTATTATTTTTCCCTACTTTACAGCTGAAGAAACTGAGTGGCTCAGAGGTGAAGTAACTTGCCCAGGGTCACACTGCTAGTGAGTGTCCAAGGCTGGATTTGAATTCAGGTTTCTTCCTGACTCCAGGCCTTGCACTATATCCACTGAGCAACCCGGCTGCCAATCACCTATTCTCTCCTTTAATCCTGTCTATTGAAAAGGAAAAGGTGGCCCTTCTCCCCAAGGCCCACCCGTCTGCAGAAACCTCAATTCCCCTTTTTGCTTTTCCAGATTGCCTCCACAATTAACCTGAAAAACTGACTTAAAGTGTCGTGTAGAATAATAAAATCAAATATCTGGGCACTAACTTTCCAAGACAGAATTCTCAAAAAATGATTTGGAAAGAAATGGTGAGGGCTAATGGCTAGGTGCTGCGAATGCGGCTGTACTTTCAGTCCGAAATAACTGTGCCGTTTCGTTGGGTGCGGCCGAGCCAAATGCCAACGACTCCTCTGAGGAAGTCCACCAAGTGAACGTGGATTAACACATGCGGCCACTAAGAAAGGTCAAGGGCAGTGGGGCTCAGAGCAGACGGAAGGCGCGGCCGCGCGCACACGCACACGCCCAACCAGGCGGCACCGCCCCAGGCTGTCCTCCCAGAAGGAGAAAGACGCTGCCTCCTTCAGGCGCGCTCTGATTAGGCCAAGCGGGGGAGGGGAGGTGCGGGGGCGGAAAAGGGATGACGGGATCTTTGGGCTAAGACTGCCAAGTGACCATACTTTTTTTTAATAACCTGCTGGCCTTATTAATAAAATGATTAAATTTCCCAGAAAATAAAAAAGGAGAGACGGCAGGAAGCTGGGATTCGATTCCGAAAACTCCCTTCCCCCAATTCTTTGACTCGCTGACGAGTAGAGCGAGGCTCCCAGGGAAGTGATTGACTATTCATGAAGGGGCGGAGCTGGAGCTCTTCAAGCCCCTCCCTTACTGAGATGCATACGTCTGACGTCGCTCTGCGCAGACCACCGCTTCCAGGCCGAGCGCGCAGGCTCCGTGGCCTAACTTCTCTATGGTCAGACGGAAGTTCCAGAGCGTCGGCACGCCCGAACCGGGAACTCTATGGTCGGGTGGGGTGGAGACGGGCGTCCTATAAAAGGCGTACGCAGGGGGTGCGGCGTCCCTTTCCCTGCGGCGAGGTGAGTGTGTTGGTTCTGCTGCCCGTATCTCAGTGCCTGTGCCTCGGCCCAGCCCCGTGCTCCGGCTCCGGCTCCGGCCCCGGCCCCGTCAGACGCCCTTGTTTCCCTTCTCTCCTTGCAGACACAGTTCCTGCCGGCGCCGGCGCCATGGGCCGTCGTCCCGCCCGTTGGTAAGTAACCGGGGAACTGGGCTCCACGTGCGCGTAGGCCTAGGCGCTACTCGGGGAAGGCCGTAGCAGCTGCCTAGGCCTCGCTTGGCTATCTAGTGAGCCTCGAGAGGGGTGGGGGGTGGGCAGCGGATAGCCCAAGCCTGGCAGCGGGCCTCGGCTACGGGGCCCAGGGCCTGTCATGCTGCGTCATGGTGCGCCCAGCCCCGCGGCCCTCTCCTCCCCTCTCGCAACGTCCGGTGCGGGGATCCCGGAAGGCTAAGGAGTCGCTACTCATTCGCGGCCGCGGATCTCACCTGTCAGCCTTACTCTGGCCTCCCTTCTCGGGTCTGGGCCCTTAAACGCAGGTGAACTGTGAACAAATTTCACTACGGATGAAGAATCTAACACCCACTGATGAGCTGACTGCAGCTAGATGACAGTAGAGAGCCGCTGGATTTTTACTGAAAACTTGAGTTAAAATCCTGCCTCAAAACACTAACAGTGTGACCTTGAACAAGTCACTTAACCTTTAGTTGTTTCTTTACCTATAAAATGGGGAACATAATAGCACCTACTTCCCACTGTGGTGGTGAGGATAACCTGGGATATTTGTAAAACCCTTGCTTGGGGATCTTCGTGGGAGAGGCCAGAAATGTAGGTCAGACACTCTAATGACTAATAACAGTTCAACCAGACTGAGTTATTTTTATTTTTTTTTTTTAGTTATAGGTACTGTAAAAATAAGCCATACCCAAAGTCCCGTTTCTGCAGGGGAGTTCCTGGTAAGTGTTGGGCAGTTCATTCTCCTTAAGGGAAGGGAGGGGCAGTTAAGGATATGGCTTTCTTTAACTTAGTCCCATCCATGCTTACATAATTAGTATTTATGAGTAACTTAGTTAATTTAACTGCCTCTTAGGCAACAGGGCACCATGGATTACAGCTCTGACTTTTTTATTTTCTTTTATGTAGATGCCAAGATAAGAATCTTCGATCTTGGTAGAAAGAAAGCGAAAGTGGATGAATTTCCATTGTGTGGCCATATGGTGTCAGATGAATATGAACAGCTGTCATCAGAAGGTAAAAAAAAAACTGGGTTTCAGGAGGTCTACCCTCAGGACCTGGGATGTACTGCAGAATGGGGTTATGTAACAGCAGCTAGCAGCTGTCCCTTCCAAACTCACCTTGGCATAAGCAGCTTTTTTTTTTCTTTTCTTTTTGTGGCTTGGTCAAAATAAACACTTAAAATATGTTATCCTGCTCCCTCAGCCTTGGAAGCAGCTCGTATCTGTGCCAACAAGTACATGGTGAAGAGTTGTGGCAAGGATGGCTTTCATATTCGTGTGCGGCTACATCCTTTTCATGTCATCCGCATCAATAAGATGTTGTCATGTGCTGGGGCTGATAGGTAAGAGTTTTCCTATAGAATAACTGAGATTATTTTTATGATTCAAGCCTACATCATGGTATTTGTTATAAGTATTCTGCTCCCTTTCCTCTCCCCCCCCCCCCCCATCCCTTCCATGGACCATCAGAAGGGTACAGTGTGAAGGTGTCTACATTTGGGGAGTCCCTGTTGCCTGATCAGGCAGTGTCATGTAGCAGAGCAAATACTGATTCTAGAGTTCCAGATAGTCACTTTACTTGCTGGCCCTTATTTCTCCACATCAGAGGTAAGACTAAGGCTTTTTCCATCTTTTGACATTCTGTGATGTCAGGAATGAGCCACCACTGAACTAAGTAGGTTGTATACTAGCGTACTTGAGTTGCTTGTTTTCTTGGCTTATCCAAATGATCTGTAGGGAAACGTAGCTATGAGCTTGAAGCATAGGCATTAAAGATAAGTACTCCTTTGGGCATGTAGCTGTCTTGGGGGAAGTGGGAGTTCCCACTGTATTGTTATGCAACCAATTAAGCCGACCAACCCAATTCTCTGTGTGGGGCTGGTGTGCAATGGTTGCGGACAGTATTTCCGTGGTTGTGTGTGTACCTTGTCTTTAATACAGGGTATTCTAAGGGACCTCGGAGACACTTAACGTATAAGCTAAGAATAAGCAAACACCTACTTCGCAGAATTTGAAATGTGAGCTTCTTAATATTCTACTTTTCATAGGCTCCAGACTGGCATGCGGGGAGCCTTTGGGAAGCCCCAGGGTACTGTAGCCCGTGTGCACATCGGCCAAGTTATCATGTCAATTCGAACCAAGGTCCAGAATAAAGAACATGTGATTGAAGCTTTGCGGAGAGCCAAGTTCAAGTTCCCTGGTCGCCAGAAGGTACACCTTATTCTGTTTCCTGTTGATGGCCCCTTTTCCTTGATTTCCCAGGCTGGGAGGAGATAATCCCCTGAGTAGAAGGAAAGATGTCTATTCCTGACTTTGACTAGCAAATTTTCTTTAATGAGATCAGTGCTTTCATCATGAGCGCTGGGGCAAAGGCTGACTATTTCTTTACCTTCTCATAGATCCACATCTCCAAGAAATGGGGTTTCACCAAGTTCAATGCTGATGAGTTTGAGGATATGATAGCTGAGAAGCGTCTCATTCCTGATGGCTGTGGGGTTAAGTACATCCCTAGCCGGGGGCCCTTGGACAAATGGCGGGCGCTCCACTCATGAGGGGTGCGTGCCTTTCTGGCACATCTACCTTTCGCAGGCATAAAATAAACTAGATACTGCTACTTGATTGCATGCGTGTTACCTTCTCACTGGATTAGCTCTTCTAGCCTTAATTCTTCTCTCATCTTGGAAATGGGTTAAAGACTTTGACCATGATTTCAGAAGAGGTTGGAGCACCTTGGGCCAGCAACAGCAAGTCTCCTGCCAGTGGCAAGGTTAACCAGAGTAAAGAGACCAGGTCTGCAGTGTAGGTCATTTGAGCTTTAGATACTTTGGTATTTATGTATTATAAAACACCATGAGAAAACAAGCCTCTCAGGGAGCTGAAAACAATCTTTGATTGCAGGTAACGAAACTTTTCAGCACTTCTGTTTTAGAATAGAGAATTCTGGTCCATCTGGCCTCCTGCTAAGTCCACAGCAGAAGTAAAGCATGGACCTCTGGAGCAACATGGCAGGTGCCTCTCAAAGCTCTTGGTGTCCTTGAGCAGCAGTTAGGTGCAGGCACACTTCGACGGGGTAGTGGTCGCTGACTTGCAGTGCCTAGGACAAGCAGTGGGGGTGCTAGCTGGGCCCAACCTGAAGGTTCTAGGTTTAGGCTGTTGCCCCATGAGCTTTGGGGTACCTCCCTTCCCATTTGTCTAGGCTCACCTCTTCCTCCGACATGCCCAGCTCCTCCTGGAAGTTGAAGATTTTGGCTGAACCAGGTATGACAGCCTGAAGGAGAGCCTTCCCATGTACTATGATCCTGCAGAAATCAAGGAATGGCGTGTATTTGAGGTTCTAGGATGTGGGGAACCTTTGACTTCAAGCCTTGGGTGCGGCCTTTTGACTGAATCCAAGTTTTACACAACAAATCATTTTATTAAGGGGACTTACTCTGTGAAGTTTATATTCAAAGAGCCAAACTAGAGGGCCACGGATTCCCCACCCCTTTGCAGGTCCCAGGTTTTTTCTCTGGAAGAGGGGAATATGGGAATGGCTTCCATCCCAACTTCCTCTTTGTGATTCTTCTTAAGCCTCCAAGAAAAGGCAACAGGAAAGTCCCTGCCAGTGAGACCATGGGCTACTTGGCTGCCCCACCAACCTCCTGTGTGCTTGAGTCTTCTGGGCCAGAGCTCAGCCAGTCAGCTCCCCCTTGGTTAGTGCTTCTCTAAAGGACCTTTCAGAGACAAGGTCACTTCCTGGCAGGAAGGGAGATCACTAGGGAGATGCTTGCAAAGGCTTACCAGCCAAGTTTTTTTAGGTTTTGTTTTTTGTTTTTTTGTATTTTGTGGTTTTTTTGGTTTTTTTTTTTTTTTAATAGAAGGGGAGCAGGAAGCTAATACCTTGTTTAAGGTTCCCCAGAGTTGTGCCTAGAGCTGAAACTTCCTGATTTGACATTAAGGTTTTTTCTGCCGTGTTACACCTACCCCGCCCCCAGCACAGGACAAGGTAACTCTCTGCCTGTCACAGGGAAGGTTTGGTCACTGCTCCCAAATTCCAAGCCTAGGATTATAGAATCATAGAACCAGAGTTGGTAAGGATTTCCTAGGCAAGCTAGGCCAAAGCAAGCCTGAGCAAGTCTGCAATTTCTCTAGGAGGGCAAAGCAGGTTCAAACATAATTGGGAGATGCTTGACAATAAAATACTATAGAACAAAGCTAATGTGAATATGGGACTTTCTAAGTCAATATGCAGCTGGCAGAGATCTATCAGGCAAATTCCTCTGCTTGGCCTCTTGGTCCCTCAGTTTCCTTATTGTTAAATGGAGGGATTAGACTTTTTAGGTTTAGCCTTTGTCTAAAGCCTTCCATAGGAGCACATTCACAGAATAGTAGATGTAGGGAACATTGAGGTCAGAATCACAGAATTGGCAGGCACCTCAGGGACAAGCTAGTCTGACCCATACCTGGAAAAGAGTATTCCTACAACATCCCTGACAAGTGGTATCTTCATCTGCTTGAAGATGGCAACTAAGGGACAACTTCCTACCTAAGCCATCTTGTTCAGATGTCTTTCCCCAGAACAAGTTTAGGGGGCACCACAGTGCAGGCCTAGAGTCAGACCTGAGTTCCAATCTGGTCTCAAACACTAGCTGTATGACCCTGGTCAACTTAACCCTGTTAATCTGTTTCTTCATCTTTAAAATGAGTTAGCAGGGGCAGCTAGGTGGCTCAGTAGATAGGTCCTCCTGACTCTTAAGGCTGGAGCTCTGAGTTCAAATATGACCTCAGACAATTGACACTTAACCAGCTGTGTAACCCTGGGCAAGTCACTTAACCCGATTGCCTCACCAAAAAAAAATAATAAAAATGAGTTAGAGAAGGAAATGGCAAACCACCCTAGTATCTCTGCCAAGAAAACCCCAAATAGGGTCACGTTAGACTCCAGTACTGGACAACAAGAAAGGCTTTGCATAGAAGGTGAGCCTTAAAGGAAGCCAGGAAGGTCACGAGTTAGAGTGGAGGAGGGAAAGCATTCCAGGTGTGGGGGAGCCAGAAAAAAACATCCAGAGCCAAAAGATGAAGTGTCGTTTGTGAACAGCCAGGAGGCCAGAGTATAGGGAAGTAAGGTGTAAGGAGATTGGAAAGGTAGGAGGGAGCTAGATTATGAAGGGCTTTGAGTGCCAAACACTGCATTTTGTATTTGCTCCTGGAGGTGATAGGGAGCCGCTGGAGTTTATTGACTGGGGTGGAGGGGTTGGGGGGATGACATGATCCGACCTGCATTTTAGAAAAATCGCTTTGGTGGCCAAATGGTGGATGGATTAGAATGGAATGGGGAAAGACTTGAGGCAGGCAGCCCCCCACCCCCAGTGGCTATTGCTATTGTCCAGATGTGAGGTGATGAGGCCTACACCAGAATGGTGGCAGTGTCAGGAGAGAAGGGGGCATGTTCTAGAAATGCTGTAGAGATGACATCAACAGGCTTTGGCATTATATAGGGTATGGAGGTGAGAGTGAGGAATCCTGGATGCCTCCTAGGTTGTAAGCCTGAGGGATGAGGAGGATGGTGTTGCCCTCAACAGTAATAGGGAAGGTGGGGGGAGGGGGGTTGAGGGGAAGATAATGGGTTGTGTTTTTGACATGTTGAGTTTCAGATGTCTACTGGACATCCAGATTGAGATATCTGAGAGGTAGTTGGAGATGGGAGATTGGAGGCAGGAAAGGTAGATGGGAGAATCATCAGCAGAGATGGTAATTAAATCCATGGGAGCTAATGGGATCACTAAGTGAAACAGTGGAGAGGGAGAAGAGAAGGGGCCCCTACGAAGTCTTCTCCAGACTCAACATAGCCTGGCACTATTCTATGGCAGGGCCCCTAATCTTGACTTGGCTATTTCATGTGTAGAAGAAGCTACGTGCTGACTCCTGAATCAGGAAGAACTAGAAACACTTGCTGTGTGGCCTTGGGCCTAGATGGTCCCAAGCAAAGGTGGGGAAGGTCTGTAGTCCCATGGTGATGACCCTGATGCCAATGCTCTCTCTCGCCGTGGAGGAAGACAGCCTCTGATTATGTGGGGGGCTGGGGGGACTATGCAGACACACACACAGATAGCCCCCTCCCACCTGTCATAGGCGCAGTGGGTCCTTGTGCTGACTGTGGTGTCTGCCTGGTCCCCAATGAGCCAGTGGAAGTCTGGGTGACTCCACAGGCGGATGCCCAGCCAGGCCTCTGGAGGCACAAATGTGCAGCCTGCGTTGAGGTCGCCAAGCAGCATGACATCCTGGTAGGGAGAGGAGCATGAAGGATGGTGATGGAGTCAGGAGACTTGGCTTGGAGTCCTGGCAACACCATTTCATTTATGGGATGAATTTGGCCAAGTTCTTTGACCTCTTTAGACCTAGTTCCTGTAAATTAGGCCCAATGATTGCTGACCAAGGAAGAGGACTATTAGGCAGGCTCCAGAATAGCGATGGCCAGTAGGAAGAACCTGGAGGGCGTGTACACATTTAGCGGATGTGTGTGTGATGGTGTAGGCCTGGAGGTGACTGAAGTGTGGTGGGGGACTCCCCAAAAGGGGTGAGACTGACAAGGGATCTAGGGGACTGCTGTGACCTAAACCTAGAGGTAAGCCAGGGGCCTAGATTCCTGGGGAAGTGGGATCTCCCTGCCTGAACCCCCTGGCCTATTACCTCCACGTTCCAATGCTGTTTCACATCCTGGACAACTCTGTAGAGTTGATCAATCTCTCGAGGTGCATTTCGGGGGCAGGCATGGTGAGATATTAGCACCAAATTGCAGATGTCTGGGAGAAAGGGCAGAAATTAGGAGAGGGGCTTCTGTGCTGCCCAGCTCCCCTTCAAACAAGCTTTCTGGGTGTACCACCTTAGTCAACAGCACAAGCACCCTCCCTTTTTCCTGATTCTGGCTTGCCTCCTCCAGGAAGCCTATCTTCCTTCCTCTCATCCATATTTTCCAGTTCTCTCATTCCTGCCAAAGACCCCAAACCACCAGGGCCTCCTTCCCATGGCAGGCAAGGGCTCTGCCACCTTCAGCCCCTGAGAGACTCTTTTGCTGTTTCCCATTAGCTCCTCCCCTATACAGACACCCATTCTGACTTGCCTTTCTCTTCTTATTGATAATAAGGCTGAGTGGTCATAGAGGAAAGATCACTGGATTTGGAATCTGAGCACTTGCCTTTCAATCCTGCCTCTGCCACCTATGCTTCCATTTCTTCATCTGTAAAATGGGGGGGAGGGGGGAGAGGTTTCTTCCAGCTCTAGATCCCTATTCCTGTGTTCTTATGCGTGATTTTGTTACCCCCTTGGGCCTCACTTTCCCCTTCTGTAAAATGAAGTGGTTGGACCTTTGAAGTCTTTACAGTTCTAAATCTATGACCCTATGACACTTCAGGGAGTTTTTCCTGATTAATTCTGTGCCTTTAGTCCCATTCGCTCCCATCTCTTCCATTCATTCTCATTTTCAACGTCTCTCTTTTCTAATAGTTTCTACCAACATGCTTGTCTTCCCGATCCTAACATAGTAAGTACCTCGACATCTTTAAATTGTTAGCTTCTCCCCTCCCTTGAAAAGTCATGATTTAAATAGAGCCAGTGGTGATGCAGTTGCTGATTACCCTCCCTCATTCCACTCCTCAGGAGTCTGGTTTCTGACACTATTTTTTTTCCTGCTACCTAAGTCTGATTGGTATGTCATTTGGTCAGCAAACAGGAAATTTGCACAGTTGGATGTGGTGTGGGAACAAAGCCATAGACATTTCCATATTTTAATAACCTTCAGCCACATTTCATATATTATTGCTTCAGGGCTTCTCTACCTGCAACCCCAGAGATCTGTGGAGAGATTGATTTCAAGGGGTCTGTGAACTTGGATGGGAAAAAATATATATTTTATTTTCACTAGTATCTAACTAAAATTAAAAATTAAAAGTGACCCCTTGGTGAACCAATTCAACTCTACAATTGGTGTCCTCTCTTGAGTCTCTCACCTCCCTATAATATCCCTAATTACACCCAGCCAAGCCTCGGCCTTGCCCTTAGATCACTCACACCATTCATCACCTTCGCTCTTACACACATGCTGCTGGGAAAAAAAAAAAGATGTAGAAAATCATACAACTGTTCTGATTGGGTCCATTACAAATTGATGTTACATGACTTCACCCGGGCCCTCACTGCTGCTAGGCAATCCTATTTTACCTCCCTTATCAATTGATTCTCCCACTCTCCACAGTGGCTCTTCCAAACCTTCTCATCCCTCCTCAAACCTCCCATAGCTCCCCTGATCTCCCCTACCCCAACTCTCTCAGCTGAGAACCCTGCCTCATATTCACAGAAAAAATTGAGGCTGGGGCAGTTAGGTGGCGAAGTGGATAGAGCACCAGCCCTGGAGTCAGGAGGACCTGAGTTCAAATCCAGTCTCAGACCAGACACTTGACACTTAACTAGCTGTGTGACCCTGGGCAAGTCACTTAACCCCAATTGCCTCACCAAAAAAAAAAAAAATTTGAGGCCATTCACCAGGAACTCCCTCTTCTCCCCTCTTCCTCATCTCATATCACATAGGTGCCTTCTGCCACCATCTCCTCCTTTACCCCCTATCTCATGTGATGAAGTGTCCTTACTCCTTAGAAAGGTCAGCCCTTCTACCTTTACAAACCCATCCCATTCTATCCCACTTCCTCCCAATAGATTGCCCCCTTTGTCATCCCCATTCTTTCACATATTTTCAATTTTTCTCTGTCTGCTGGCTCATTCCCTACTGCCAACAAACATGCCCATACCTCTGCAATCTTGGGGAAAAAAAAAAACACTTCACTTGATCCTTCCATCCTTACTATCATCCCATATTTCTTCTGCCTTTTGTAACTAAACTCCTTGAAAAAGCCATCAACAATAGGTGCCTTCATTTTTCTCTCACTCTTAACCCCTTACAATCCAGCTTCTGACCTCATCATTCCACTGAAACCACTCTCTCCAAAGTTACCAATGATCTCTTGGTTGCCAAATCCAATGGTCTTTTCTCCATCCTCAGTCTCCTTGACCTCTCTGCACCTTGGATGCTGCTGATCACCCTCTCCTCCTTGATACTCTCTTTTCTCTAGGTTTTCAGGACTCCACTCTTTCCTGGTTCTCCTCCTACATCTCTGACTGTTTCTTCTCTCTCAGCTTTGCTGCATCCTTCTCCAGATCCTGCCCTCTAACCATAGGTGTCCCTCAAGGTTCTGTCCTGGGCCCTCTCCTCCCTCTACACTACTTCACTTGCTGATCTCACCAGGACCCATGGATTTCATTACCATCTCTGTCAATGATTCTCACATCTACCTTTCCTGCCCCAAACTCTCTGCTGACCTCCAATCTCCCATCTCCAACTGGATATCCAGTAGACATCTTAAACTCAACATGTGTACAACTGAATTCAATATTTCCCCCCCAAACCCTCCCCCCTTCCTACCTTCCCTATTGTGATTTGTCCTTTATTCTCGAAGAGGACCATGACATTTGGGTAATGATGACATGACTTGCAATTGACTTTGATTTGAGTGAAGGAGGGCTGTGCAAAGTCACCAGCCTAACTTTCTCCTCCAGAACCATCTGGGTCCAGTGGTCAGATATCAATCAAGACGACTGAAGATGGCCCAGGATACAGTGGGAGACCTTGCTCCTTTTAAGCTAAGGTATTTTCAGGTTCTCACTTTGAGTGAGGCAATGCCCATTCAGTGAATAGGCCTCTTTAAGAAGTGAGTCAAGGGCAGCTAGGTGGCATAATGGATGGAGCACTGGCCCTGGATTCAGGAGGACCTAAGTTCAAATCCAGCCTCAGACACATAACACTGACTAGCTGTGTGACCTTGGGCAAGTCACTTAACTCCATTGCCTAGCCAACAAAAAAAAAAGGAGCCAAGGGATGGCCCCTTTAATCAAAGAAAAAAAAAATCATACTGGGAAGGGAAGACCTTCAGGGTTGCTGGCCAAAAGAGAAACAGTTACTATTTACATTCACTCTGAGCCAGGAGGGCCCAAAAACTAACCATTAAGTGGTGCTTGGTCAGGGACCTATTTTTGTCCAATCCATGAGATCCAGAGTGAACTGGGTTTAAGGCTTGGTCTTTGAGAAAGAAATCTAGCCAGTAAACCCCAAGCTAACTAGGTAGCTTTTGGCCATCAAAATTGACCTTCCTTTGGGCAGAACACCCTCAGGTAAGGAGAGGGGAGAGGAGAGAGGAGAGGAGGAGCAGAGTTGCCCAAGTGGAACTGGCCACCTGGGTTCCCATTCAGGCAGCTTGGACTACTCATAGGTTGTGGTTTGTCCTTCGTTGTCGAAGTGGACCATGACATCAGGGAGATAGAAGGTACCACACCCTAGGAATCATCCTGGAGTCCTCACTCTCACCCTCCATATCCAAGCTGTTGCCAAAGCCTGTGGACTTCACCTCTGCAACATCTCCCCGTTAAATTCCCTTCTCTCCTCTAACACTGCCCCTACCCTGGTACAGGCCCTCATCATCTCATGCCTGGACTATTGCAGTAGCTGCTGGTGGGTCTGCCTGCCTCTCCTATACTCCAGTCCATGCTCCATTCAGCCACTAAAGTAATTTGGCTAAAATATATGTCCTATCATGTTATTCCCCTATTCGGTAAACTCCAGCGGCTTCCTATTTCCTCCGTGAGCCAATATAAAATGCTCTGTCTGGCATTCAAAGCCCTTCATAACCTAGCCTCCCCCTACCTCTCCAGTCTTCTTAGACCTTACTCCCTGACATGTACTCTTTGATCCAGTGACACTGGCCTCCTGGCTGGTCCATGAACATAACACTCTACCTCTTGGCTCCAGGCATTTTCTGTGGCTGTCCCCCATGCCTGGAACTCTCCCTCCTCAGCTCTGACTACTATTCTTGGCTTCTTTAAGTCCCAACTAAAATCCCATCTTCTACAGAAAGTTTTCCCCAATCCCTCTTAACTCCAGTGCCTTCCCTCTGTTAATTATCTCCTATTTATTTAGTATATATCTCATTTGTTCATAGTTGTTCGCTCATCTCCACCATTAGATTGTAAGCTCCCTGAGAGCAGGAACTGTCTTTTGCCTCCTTTTGTATCCCCAGTACTTAGCCCAGTGCTTGGCACATAGTAGGTGTTTCATAAATGATTCCAAGGGCCATTGGCTTCACCAGACTGACTGCCAAAGGGATCCATTACACAAAAAATGTTGAACAAGCTCCACCCTAGGACCATACTGAATTCAGGTCAGTGAGGGTTTCCTTTTTGCCTGAGGATTCTGCCTTGGTAGAGCTCCAATAGATAGGATCTCCTCTACAGGTAAAGGAGATTAATAAAGGTCATCAGACCAAAGTGACCTTCCTTTGACTCAGCTTACCCCACCAAACCTCTTGCCAAGGTTATAAATAATCTCTTAGTTGCTATATTTTCTTCTCAGTCCTCAACCTCTTGGCCCTTTCTGGAGCCTTCGGGGCCTCCTGTCTCCCCTTCCTTGGTTGTTGCTTCCTCCCATCCCCTAGACGAAGGTTGCCCTCAAAATTCTGGCCAGGAACATGCACACTCTCTCCCTCTCTCCACTCTTTCCCTTGGTGATCTCATTTCTTCCCAGGAATTTAATTGTCATTTTTACTCAGATGAGTCTCAAATATCTAGCCCCAGTTCCAATCTCCCCCCTGAAACATGAAGCCCCAGTCCAGAATCACCTGTTGCTTCCAGGACCTATCTACCTGGAGATGTCACTGGCAGGGCCACTTACTGAATTATCAGACCCCAACTTTTCACCTGAAGAGCCTCCTGCCCAGCTTCTCTGCCTCTAGCTTCTCCCCTCTTCCAACCCATCCGCCCCCTAGTCAGTCACTCGATGTGCAGATATGATCACATCACTGCCTTGTTCAGAGCATCACTGCAGAAGAAAACACAATCATCCTCCCTACCCCCACCGCCAGCTTTCCATTACAGGCCTCCAGGGTCTGCCTCTGGCTGCCTTCCCCAATTATTCCACTGACTTCCTCTGGTGTTCTCCAAATCCCAGCCAGTCTGAGCTATAGCATTAACTGCTCTTCCCCCACCAATAGGCCTGGCTCATGTCTCAAATGATCTGCTTCCACATCCCTGCATGGTGAAATCTCCCTTCAAGTCCTGGTGCAGATGCCACTTGCTCCAAAATACCTTCCCTGAGTCCCCTCACCCTTGAGAGCCCCCGCCCCTCAAGCTAGAAGGATTCCCTCCTCATCTCCCAGCCCTCTGTTTGACCTTTTCTAGGCAAACTTTCTTTATTTTTGGTCTGGACCTATGATTTCAGCCATGTAGGTAATTTTTGATGTGACAATGCCCTCCACCAATGCTGGCTGACAACTGACTCATAGCTTTTTGGTTCAGAAATAAATATCTCTCTAGAAGAGACCTTAGAAGTCATCTAGTTCAACCCCATCACTTTGCAGGGGAGGAAACCGTGGGCCAGAAAGGAGTGGAATGATTTGCCCAGGGTCATACTGGTGGCAAGTGGCTGAATCCCAAACTGAGTTCTTTCTACCAAACTCTGATGTCAAGGGATTGCCGAGGCCCTAGAGTTCTACAAGGTCAAGTGACTTGTCCAAGGTTACAGAGACTGGCTAAGTAAGAGACTAGTCTTGACCTCAACTCTTTCTGACTCTTGGGCTGGCCCCCTGGACACTGTACCAGCTGCCCTTTTTGAACTTTTATTGGAACTGGAGGGCATGGATTGTCCTTTCTCCTTACTTTCCCTGTGCCTAGCCCACCTTCTCCCCTGACCTCCCCTCAGGTTCTGCTCTCATTTTCCACTTTGTATGTCACATCCTCCTCTTCATCCAAGCCGGGCTATTTGTCTGGGGTAGGGAGATAGGAGGCTGGGATTCTTCAATCAAGCAAAATTCCTGGAGAAATGGCTAGACTCCTTAACATCTGAACTTGGCCTTGGCGGGGGTAGGGCTCAAGTAGGAGCCTAGAAGGTGCCCCATCACATTTCTCTAATGACTTTCGAGGTTACAAAACGCTTTCCATATATTACCATGGTTGAACTTCTCAGTGACTCAGGGAGGAGCATATTATCCTTTTTTCATAGTTGGGGAAACTAAGGCTCTGAGAGGTTGCCTGACTTGCCCAGAGTCCCACAGCTAATAAGTGAGATATTATAGTGAGAACTTTTTCAGGACTGGACTAGATGGTGTCTGAGTCTGCCCCCTAGTGAACTCCTCTGTCCACTCACCATGCCAGGCTGCCTTTTTGGAATTCTAGACAATGGGTAATATAAACTGGGGTGGGGCAGGGTGGGGGTCAGGTGGGAGGGAGAGTGGGTGGGTACCTGAATTTGGCCAGCAGAAACGGGCAACAAAGGGTCCCCGAAGGAAGGATTCTGCCTGACCTGGCTCAGCCTCTGGTACTTGGTATGAGTCCATGATGGAAACCACATCTGCTCTGAAGGGAACGCAAAGTTGGGAGAGGGGGCTCCAAGTTCAGTCAACCCCTCCAGTGTTTCCCCCGACTTTATCTCCCAGCCAGGAACAGGGAGGTCTCTGGTACCTGTAGACAAAGACATTCTGCTCCTTGTAGCTTCCCAGGCCCAGGCGCCGACTTTCTAGGGCCTCATATCGGTGGCTAGGGTCAGCCCTGTTCTGGGACATCAGGGTTTTGACCAAGCATCCTCATCCCTGGGCATAGTCCCCATACTATCTCCTTCCTTCCAGACCTCCCCTCTGTTCCCAGTCCCCTTCCCCTCTGTTGGGGCCAGGTAGGGCTCTACCCAAGCACACACACACACCCCCATTTGATCCCCTGGATGTTGTTCAGCTCTGCTCCCTGGCCCCCTCCCATCTGCTAGGATCCTCCTGGCCTCCTTCATGAGCTTCAGGCAACCTCTGGAGAAACAAGGGTATGTTAGAGGTAGTAGTGACCTCAGAGGTTGCCTGGATCAACCATCTCATTTGACAGTAGAGGACATTGAGGCCCAGAGAGAGAAAGGGACTTGCTTGAGGTCACCCAGAGACAGGATTCAAATCCAGATCCCATGTCTTCATTCCACCATTCCAGAGCCCTGCACCTGTTGAGTTCCTGGAGGAGAAGTGACATGGCTGTGCCTTTGCTATCACGAACCTCCTGTACCAGACAGATGTCATATCGGGAAAGAACCTGTATCCAGGGAAGAGGAGATGGGGTGTGGGGAGGTCTTGGGGAACTCCTGGGGGGCAGTGTCCTCAGGGAGCCCCCCATTTAAGGGGAAAATCTGTAATACTAGCCATGATGAGAAAGGTTTCCCTTTCCCCCTTCTGGGAATGCTAGGGATGCTCCAAAGAATGACTATGTGTGTAGGGGGGAGGGAGAGCAGATGGTCTAAGAAGGGAACCTGGGGGGAGGGGCAGTGCGTGTAAAAGAATGAATAGTAGAGGGCAGGGCTGGCTTGTTAAGGGGATTGCCCACCTCCACCTGCCTCTGTACTGAGCTGGCTCCAAAACTCCTTCCACTGTGGAAATCACTACTTTGCTGGAAGATAGGATCTTGGGAGAGTTGCCTGAGGCTCAGGTGAAGTGACTTGCCCAGGGTCACACAGCTGGTAAGTGTCAGAGACCGGCCTTGAACCCAGGTCTTACTGACTCCAAGGCTCTCTATTCAATATACCTGAGGCCTCCTGTGGACTGTATATTGACAGCTTTAAAATGTAATACTATCTGTGTTTTATTGTCTTTTTATTTATGTAACACTCCCGGCCTTCCAGGGGCATCGTTGTCACCAGTAAGGAGAGAGTCCCGGACCATTGGGCTTTGGACCTTGGGTTACATTCGTTTTGTTAAATATTTCCCAATCCCATTTTGATCTGGTTCAGGTGGCACTTGGGGCTTCTGGCCTCTATATTACAGTCTGATGCCTTCTCCCAAGACTTGTCTGGGTCATCAGCCCCTGAGGCAGTTAGTCTGGGGAAACCTTTGGGCTTCTGCTCAAAAGTATGTTTTTAAATGCATAAAATAAAATACAGATTGTTGCAAAGGAAACCAATTATACTGAAATACACTAATCAAAATATTTTTTTAAAATGAGTTCAGGGGCCCCAGGCTAAGGACCCCACCATAAGGTCCTGTTGGCAAATGGACATCTTCATTTTGGAGAGCCCAAAGAAGCACTTCAGTGAAATGGGGCCAGCAGGGGTAGGGGAAGGAAGAAGGTCAGCAGCAACAGAAGAAAGGGACTCAAGTCCAGCCTGAGTGAATTCCCAGGGGCCCTGAGCTGCCTCTGGAACCAAGGCAGCCAGTTCCTCAGGGTCTAGAAGTGAGGTGTCCAGCTCATCATTTAATAAGAGCAATCACTAGGCCCTGGGGTCAGCTCTGTGGACAATCTGAGGCCCTCTGAAGGGCAGAGGAACATTTCTTTGTGTGTCTACTGCAAACAGGCCAAAATGGTTTCCTCAGACCAACTTTGAAAGACAAATTCAATTGGAGGGTTGGGGGAGGGAGACTGAGACCCTGGGACACAGCAAGTCCATTCTGCTGGGGTGGGGGGAGGGGCAGGAGCTTACCTGAGGTATAATAACCTGCACCCACCATGTGGTAGCTTCCTATTTTAACTAATTCTTCTTGCTTACTAGATGTTCATTTCTGTACTTCTGGAGTTCTGTTAACCCACTTTAAATTTTGACTCCCTAGGACAGCGACCTAGTGGCCCCAGCCTAGGTATGGCTTCCTTCTGGGAACCCTTGATCTGAGGAAACAGGGTGGGGGTCAGGGTGGGGGCAAGATAAGACTCCTGTTTCTCACCTTGACCAGTACACTCATGACCTTGGGCCGGTTGGCCTTAGCCTCCCCAAAGCTCTGGATATTGAAGGCACAGATCCTCAGGGTAGCACATGATGCCAGGTGGAGTTGCCCACTCAACAGGAGAAGCAGGAAGAGAGATACCCAGCTACATGGTGTCCACAGAAGATACCTGGGGGAGACAGAGAGAGAAGTCTTGAAGGGCATCAGTGTCCAGATGTGGCAAGAGCTTTCCCCTACACTTTGAGCCACGCCTAAGGATTACCAAGAACTGATGCCAACTAAGAATCAGCAGCCTGGATGTTTTAAGCATGCCAGGCAGTGATAGAATAGTTTTAGTGGGTCATATGAAGACTCAGAGAGCTCCAGCAAAGGGAGGCAGATGCAAAGCACCACTGGGTAACAGTGCCCATCCCCAGGGATGCCTGAGTCAGTGTGCTGAGTTGGCTACAATTGGAAGATTCAGCTTTGTGCCATCCTGATCCCTGGCCTGGGCCTCCCATTGAGAAAGTGCTGAGCAAGGGAAGAGAAGTACTTAGGGGCAGAGCAGAGAGGAGAGAGGGACTGGGGAGAACCATTTTATATTGAGCCAGGAAAGCTTATCTATTTTAAGGAAGAGAAGATTCTGTTATACTGGCCCAAATTTCCCTTGTCATTAGAAGCTCCCTTGCCAGGGAGCTCTACTAGGCATGTCTGCTCCTCTAAATGTGAGGGGGCCTGCTGAGCCATGTCCTCTCATCCTCTGCCCCACAGCAACATCCAGGAAGCCTTACCATCTATTTGTACTCATCTGCCCCTAAAGAAGCAGCCAGGAGGCCGACTTAGCCATGTGCAAAGGCAGCATCCAGGGGGTCTCCCCAAAAATGTCCTCTGTCCCTCAACAGTATCTAGGAGGCCTCCCCAGTCATGTCCTCTTCTCAAACCCCAAAGGCCAGGGGGCCTCTCCAGCCATGTTCCCTCCATTAACCCTAAAGGCAACTTCTAAGTTGGACCACATCAAACATGCCCTCTCCAGACATGACCTCTTCAGTGCTCCGCAGCAGGTTCCAGGGGCCCTTCCCAGCCATCTCCTCTCTTCATCTGACACACAGACCACGCACTGAGCCCCAAACCCTGGCCTTCACTGCACTCTTAACCAAGAGCCCCTGAGTCAAAGCCCAGACCACTGACTGAGCTCCTAAACCAGAATATGGACTGGAGGCTAACATAGAGCCACAAACCCAGGTCTTCAATGTACCCCAAAGCTAGCTGCCACCTCACCCTGGAGCACAGACAGAGGTCTAAGCAGTTCTTGGTTACCTTGGTGACATGTAAATCTCTCTTCTCAAAATTAGTCCATTGTGAGCCCTCTAACTAGTTTGATCTGTAGCCTGACATTAATGTAGTTATGATTATGAATTTATGAAAAATCTTATGGATTTGACTTATAGATAAGTGATCCATGGGAGTAAGGTGCTGCCCCTTCCCCCATGAATCAAAATGGGGAATTGAGGGGGATTAAAACAAGCAAGAGGTAGTGGGAACTGAGCAAACCCCACTGACTCTTGTCAATGTCTTGTGACTCAATTCTGGAGCTAGCTCAGTTCCTTTTCTATTCAATTATGGGTCTAGTCCAATTTCTGTCTTATGAGAAAACTTTATTCGGTTGTGGAAATTGGGAGAAAACCTTATTCTAATTGTTTGAATCCAGCCCTGTATAGCTATGAAGCTGGACCACCTTTACCTGCTACTTAGTGACCCTTAACCAAGGACCTGGGTTATGCTGACCAGAAACCCAAGATAGATCCAAAGATTGATGCAAAGAGTTTTCTCACAATTGTACATCTCAAGCAACCCCTATGTCTTATCTGAAAACTGGTCCCATACTGTTCATCCAGTTATTGTCTCCATGTTCATTTAATTGAATGCAGACACTTATTGGGGAGCGTGACATCTTTTCTGATTTCAGCGAATTGTACCTGGTCACTCTCCACCTCCCAAACTTGAAAATCCCTAATCTTTCCTCCAATTAGAAATCAGATTACCTAGTTTGTTCTCTTGGTTAATTGTTTTCTTTTAATTAATTAGTCTTATTTGGTTAATTGTTTTTAATGCATTAAAGTCTGTCTCTCCCTGTATTCAGGGTCCCATGCAAAACTGAGCAGGCCCAGAACCAATTTGTTAGGCAATTGGCACACATTGCTTAATAAATTGATATTCTTGGAAGTTTGAATCTTTGTTTCCTCAGTCATTTCATCTTTCACCTACCACAGGCCTTATGTGGTCTCCATCAGAGCTTCTTAAACTTTTCCCTCTCAAGACCCCTTCAGCACTTCTTAAATTGTGGGTCGTGACCCCATATGGGGTAGGCATCTATCTCTGGTCTGGGTTAGGCCTCAGTCTGGTGTTTGGGGAACAGAGCAGGCAAGGGCCAGTTTTAGGATGCTATGAAGGCCTAGGATTAGGCCTCAGTCTGTGGCGTTTCTTTGGGGCTGAGTCTTTGGTCTGAGTTGGGGAGTAGGTAGGGACCAGCTTTAGAGTGCAATGAAGGAATGATTTTGGTACTCAGTTTGTAGCCTAGGTTTGGGGCTCAATTTACAGCATGGATTGGAGCTCAGTCTGTGGTCTGGGTTTGGACTCAGTCAGTGGTCTGGGTTTTGGCTCAGGCAGGGGCAAAGTTTCAGATACAATGAAGCCTAGGGTTTGGCATTCAATCTGTGGTCTCAGGTAGACTTCAGTCTGCAGCCTGAATTTGGGGTTCAGTCTGTGATCTGGTTTGGGGCTCAGGCAAATGTCAAATTAGGGTACAATAAAGGCCTGGGATTGGGGCTCAGTCACAAATTTACAGCCACAGGTTCAGTCTGGTGATTGGGAGTGGGGAGAATGCACACTCTGGTTTCAGGCTGGGGTTAGCTTTGGGTTTTCTTTTGTGATCAATTAGGCTTTAGGTTGGGTCCTGAATCAGGTATCAGATTAGGGCAAAAATTGGTATACAGTGCTGGGTAGGTCTTAGGGCTAAGTATAGGGTCAGATTATAGTTTGGGGCCCAGCAAATGCCTGATCATGAGCTAAGCTCAGCCTGGGAGAGATTCAGGTGTGTGTGTGTGTGTGTGTGTGTGTGTGTGTCTGGATTAGGACTGGGTTCACAGCTAAATCTGGTCAGGGCTAAGCAGGGCTGGCATCAGTTTTTCATTTGTTTTTGACCTCAGTCTGAGCCTAAATTGGAGCTCATCCTGGGGCCAGGTTTAGGGTGCAATGAAGGCTTGGGTTTGGGGCTCAGTCTGTAGTCCACACTGGGACTCATTCTGTGGTCTGGGTTAGGCCATGGTCTGCATTTGCGGCTCACTCTGTAGTCTTGGTTAGGGTTTAGTCTGTGGCCTGGGTTGGGGGCTCAGTCATAGGACCAGGGTTATGGTTCAGTCTGGTTGGAGTGGGGAGAAGGCTCACTCTGGTTTCAGGCTGGGGATAGGTTTGGTTTTTGATTTGTGGTTAAGTCAGGCATGAGCCTGGGGCCTGAATCAAGCCTCAATGTGGGACTGAGGTGTAGGGTTCAGTGTGGGGATAGGGTCAGGACACTGGTGCATAGGTCAGCATGCATTGTGGGTGCTGGTCAAGACTGGCTCCAAAATGGGGAAGGGGGCCAGGAGTGTAGGTATTAGCCTGATAGACAAACTGATCTATGCTTCTTTACATACACAATACAATTCAGGGAACAAGTACAGGAGACTGAGGAGATGAGGACCTAAGAGATTTATTTATAGTACCAAAGTCAACTGAGATTTATTGCAAGGCTACAAAGTAGAGCTTTAAAAGTCAACCCCTCCGGAGCAGCTAGGTGGCACAGTGTATGATAGAGCACCGGCCCTGAAGTCAAGAGGACCTGAGTTCAAATCCGGCTTCAGACCAAACACTTGACACTTACTAGCTGTGTGACCCTGGGCAAGTCACTTAACCCCAATCGCCTAAAAAAAACCAAACAAGCAAACAAAAAAAAAGTCAACCCCCATGAGGAGGGACAGGGTCAAAAGAAAGAATAGAATAAATGGGGGGGCAGGATAAGATTAAGGGAAATAGAGTTAGTTTTTCATGGCACATCTACTATGGAAGTGTTTTGCATAACTGTACATGTATAACCTATATTGAGTTGCTTGCCTTTTCAATGAGGGTGGGTGGGGAGGGAGGAAGGGAGAAAATTTGGAACCCAAAGTTTTAAAAACACATGTTTATAAAAAAATGTTTTCACATACAACTGGGAAATAAGAAATACAGGAAATGGGGTACAAAAATCTATCCTGCCCTACAGGAAAATAGAAGGGGAAGGGGGGGAGAGATAGCAGGGAAAGCAGACTAGGGGAAAGGGTATTCAGAATGCATGCCATCTTGGGGTGGGGGAGGGGTGAGATGGGGTGAAAATTTGGAACTCAAAATCTTGTGGAAATAAATGTTGAAAACTAAAAAAAAAAAAGAATCTAAGGGGAGGGGTGCCTTTGATGGCCTTTTAGACAATTAGGAAATGGTTGGACAAATTGTACATGAATGTCATGGGATATTATTGCATTGTAAGAAATTATGAAATAAATGATTTCAGAGTAAAAAAAATAAAGTCGACCCCCCATCAGCAGGTAAACACATTCAGAGTGGCCTCTGGTTCTGACAGACAGCCCTGACAGCCCCATAGTTCATCCTGGGCCTCAGCTTCCCACTTCTGGGCCCCAGGCTAGCCCCCCTGGGTCATTCATCCTTTGCTGAGTGAAACCAAAGGCTCCTCTCTGGGGCTCAGTGGGATTTTGTCTGGGTTGGTCTTGACTGAGGCTGACTCTTCCAGGCAAGGGAGGAGGAGGAAGAGCAGGCAAGCTGCACCTGTGAACCTGGATTGGTGCTGAATGGCATCCTCCCTAGATGGCTCTGCACAGAGTATCAGTAGAAGGGGCAGATGGCTGAGGCTGGTGGATGAGCTGCTCAGGACTGCTGAGAAGCAGACACAGGACTCAAGGCCAATCTTAAAGCATGCTGTACATGTCTTTCGCATCCAAGGTACACCGAGTCAGTACAGGATCTGGACCTTTGGAAGTCATTCCCAGGCTAATAATCCCTGCTATCCTCTACAGCCCTCCTAGCAGTGACACACACTCAGGTCTTAGGTCCATATTGGTAGGCTTATGCTTGGACTTTGGGGCTAGTGTTGCAATCATGGCCATTGCTATTGAGAGAGTCCTCCATGTCATGAAAAGCCTGTTGGTGCCCGTTGGTCTGGGACAAGAGGCACAGTGGCCTGATGCCTCAATTTTCCCTTCATCTGCTAATACCTGTGGTGTCCCACCCTGTGCTCCACAAGGAAGAACAAGAGTAATCTTCACATTCAGGGGAATGAGAGTGTTATCCCTCAGGCAAAGGTCAGCCACCCAAGAGGCTATGGAGAATGAGTTCTGTAGACAAAGGGGACACAGGATGGGAATCAAAGAACCCATGGCAATGGTTAGATTTGGGGAAATTTTGGATGATTGTGACACCTACCTCCCACTCTTTTATTCCCAGAGTAAGGATATTTTCAAAATATTCTTCTGTTCTAGTCTATCTCCTCCTTTCAGCCTGACCTGGTCAACATTTGAGCCATTTGACTGCACGCACAATTTAGATAGCTGCTCAAAAGATCATTACAGAGCAACTGAGTATCTTTTGGAAGGGTCAGAAGTATTCATTGTGAAAGGGGGAAGAGAGGGTTACTCTTGTGGAACCTTGATGACATGCTGCCAGGTTTTGGTCTGGAACCCAAAGAGAATTTTCATGCTTAGATTTATGGACTGGCCTCACATAGCTTCATGGGGCTGCGTTCTTTTCACCCTCCTTTGATCCCATGTAAAGTTTTGGTTCATGCCTTGTCGTCTCATGGAAGGTGTCTTTATACCTTTATACCAAGGAGGGAAACAGTCAGGCTTGTGTGGTGGTGGCTGGCCCTTTCAAGGGAGAAAAACAGTGGGGTCTCAGAGGAGTCTTGCCCTCACCTTCATGGGGCTGCTTCTCCAGGCCATCCCATTGCTCGTAGAGAGTCACCCCTATGGGATTGATTCAGTTATCACATGTGCCACTCAGAGCCATTGTTGTGGCTTCAGTGTTCTTTTCATGAGTATACCAGTACGTGAGCTACTGGCAATCTCCCCTTGGTGGGGGGTGAGGATAGCTGATTCCTCAGCATGCCCACCACATCAACCAATTTTTTCTAGCACCAATTTTGGTCTTCTAATTGACTAAGTCTACCAATCAGGAGACTGACCCATGTGCTCATCAATACAAGGGCAGAGAGGATGGATTACAGGCATCTAGGGAGATGTAGCCAAAGTCCCATGAATCCTGTCCTCCTCAATACTGGTTGGTGGTAGTCACTGCAAAGCCCATGTGCCTCTGCCTCTACATGCTCTGCCCTGGATTAACTATCATGGTTAAGGTATCAGTGAGGGTCCACTTGGTTTGCAAGTGTGGCATATAGCATGTGGCAGTCAGTGGACAAGATCAAGCCTTTGCTAAGTCTTCCATCTTCCTCTCCTCTCCTCCCCTCCTCTCCTCTCCCCTCCTTTCCTCTCTTTTCTTCTCCTCTTCTCTCCTCTCCATGCTACCAGCCCTACATCTCTTTTGGAGATGACATACCATATACTATGTATGCATCAGATCCCATTCCCAAACAAACCCACTCTCGTGGGACCAACACATTCTAGGGTGTTCCAGGCAATAGAGAAGAGTGAGAAGAGCTTAAAACAAATCTTAACTCCTGTAACAGCCAAGGGCATCCACACACCCACCCAGTCCCCTGAGGCCCAAGTGTTTCCAACCTGCACTTAGGCTTCTGGGAAGGAAGTCATGGAGTTCATTGTGGTTCCCTTTTAGTCCATAGTCCAGGCAGCTGCTTCTGGAGAGAAGGATGCTCAGGATTTTCCCCAACACGGCAGAGCCATTTGGCTTTTGCATTTTCATTGCCTTCCCGAGGGTCCCAGTCTTTGTGATTGCTCCCTGTTGTGTCTATGTTAAGCTGTTGCCAGGAGGTGCCCTCTGTTTTGTGCTCTTATCTTGGGGTCCTCCTCACAAGCA